CTCTTCCCCTTTCCCACAGTTGATTTTGGGGTCAGCGCCCAGCTGGACCGCACAGTGGGACGCCGGAACACCTTCATCGGCACCCCGTACTGGATGGCTCCGGAGGTGATTGCCTGTGACGAGAATCCGGATGCCACCTATGACTACAGGGTAGGTCTCTCTCAATCTCTCTCTCTCTCTCTCTCTCACTCACTCACTCAGACTGGGCAGCCTCCCTGGGACCCTGAAGGCCTGCTGAGAGTGTGGAGGGCTCCGTCTGGCCGCGTTCTTCTCTTGGAGGCTTATGGGGGACGTCGGAGGAGCCCTGCAGGGCCCAGGGAGGCGTTGGCAGAGCAGGACCAGGGAGATTTAGGGAGGAAATGGGCAGGACAGGAGGGGCCGCTGGCAGACAGGTCAGTTGAAGGACGTGGCCTGGAGGGAGGGCAGGGGAGAGCGACACTGCCGGGGGGAGCTCTGCCTCAGCCCCTCACAATCCCTGGTTCCTCCCTGCAGAGCGATATCTGGTCCCTGGGCATCACCGCCATCGAGATGGCCGAGGGAGCCCCACGTGAGTGTCTGTGAGGAGGAAGGGGTGGCGACCCAAGGGAAGGCATGTGGCCCTGGCTGGGAGAGGGATCGGGTCCAGAGGAGGCCTCTATGATGCCCCGGTCAGGGATTGCTGACTCTTCCGGGGGGTCGGTACGGGTGGTGGTCCGCTCTGCTGCACTTTCAGGGCAAGGGCCAGGAAACCCATTTGTCCGAACCTGCCCGGCAAAGGGCCTGCTATCTAGGAGGGGAGGGGGCGCTGGAGGATTCAGGCCATAGGACCAGGGGGGGGGTTGCAGGGGAGTTGCTTCCCGCCTCCCCAAGCTCTTCTCTTTGCAGCCCTGTGCGACATGCATCCCATGCGGGCGCTCTTCCTCATCCCTCGCAACCCACCCCCCAAGCTGAAGTCAAAGAAATGGTAGGTGTGCCCTGGGGGAACGAGGCAAGCCTGGCGTCGGCCGATCTTGGTGGCAGCGAAGTTTGTGTCGAGCCCTCTTTCTGTGTCCCTGCCTTTCCGAGAGCTCTGGGCATGGGGGCCACAATTCTGAGGGGGAGGGGACACACAGACAGAGACACCGGGGGGGGCGGCTGGCAGAGGCTCCTGAGCCTCTTGCAGCTGCGGTGTGCCTCGCGAGCCCCCCTTCTCCCTCCCTCCGCCCTGGTCCTTTTGGCCCTCTCTCCTAGCCTTTTTTTTCCCCCTTTGGGGAGTCCCAGCCTCCCATTGCCAGAATCCTCTGACTGGACCCGACAGTGGAGAGAGGAGAGGAGGGGGCGATGCCATCTGTACCTGGGTAGTTCTGGGCTTGTGGCTGGCGCTCCTGGGGAAGGGCTGGAGGCGTCCACAGGAGCCGGCCTGCTCTCCTGACTGGGGGGGGGAGGGGAGGGCTTAAGCTCCCCCTTTCCTAACATCCGACAAGGGACAAGGGCCCGCACCTTCCCACATATTTGATCAGCTGCTGTTCCAGACCTGGGTGGTGAGACCATGAACTGAGGCCTGTGCTCCTCCCTCCCTCCCCCCCCCCGCACCCTCTAGGTCCAAGAAGTTCATTGATTTCATTGACAACTGCCTGATCAAAGCCTACACCAGCCGCCCCCCAACAGAGCAGCTCCTCAAGTTCCCCTTCATCAGGGACCAGCCCACCGAGCGACAAGTCCGCATCCAGCTCAAGGACCACATCGACCGCACCCGGAAGAAGAGGGGGGAGAAAGGTCAGCCCAGCATCCTCCCATCTCTCTCTCTCTCTCTCTCTCTCTCTCTTCTTTTTTTGGGGGGGGGCGGGGGGTTCCAGGGCTGGCCCCTCCCTGATATGTCCCGCGTGTTGCCTCATTGCAGACGAGACCGAGTATGAGTACAGTGGCAGTGAGGAAGAGGATGATGGGCGTGGTGAAGAAGGGGAGCCCAGGTATGGGGAGCAGAAGCGGACCTATTGATGGTCCCTGGAGGGGATTTCCACTACCCAAGCAGAATGGGGGTGGATAGGCTGCCCCCTAGCGGCTGCCCCCCCTCCCTGTGGGAGCCACACAGGTAGCCTCTTGCGCGCCTTCCCCCTTTCTCCAAGGGTGGCCTGCAGCCTTGCCCAAGGGGGTCTCCCGTGGAATGAATTTGGCTGACGTGCCACCTTGGCCACAGTGGGGCTCTGTGGGGAGAGGGAGGTCTAGGGGTTTGGACCCCCACCAAGCAGGGTGCTGAGCCTTCCCTCCCTCCCTCGCTCCCTCCCACCAGTTCTATCATGAATGTCCCCGGCGAGTCCACGCTCCGGAGGGAGTTCCTTCGGCTGCAGCAGGAGAACAAGAGCAACTCCGAGGCCCTGAAGCAGCAACAGCAGCAACTGGCGGCTCAGCACCGCGACTCCGAGGCCCACATCAAGCACCTGCTGCATCAGCGCCAGCGGCGCATCGAGGAGCAGAAAGAGGAGAGAAGGCGCGTCGAAGAGGTGACCCCGGTGGTTGGGGCGGAGAGGAGATGCTAGAGAGCGGCCCCGGCAGCTCCCCCAGCCGCTGCTTTGCTGTCCCCCTGCCCTGCACACAAATTGGGGGGGGGGAGTGCGCCCACAGCCACAGGCCTTGGAATGGGCCAGCGCGAGGGCATGGCGAGCCCCCACGTCCAGGCAGGCACGGGCCTTGAGGTCACTCCTTCAGATTCAGGGCTGCCTGTTTACTCTTGATGAGTGCGCGCATGCATGCGTACCAGGGCCCGCCTCAATCCCGAACTCCCCCCAACCTTCTCTGTGTCTCATTCCCCCCCCCCCCCCCGCTCCAGCAACAGCGAAGAGAGCGAGAGCAGCGGAAGCTGCAGGAGAAGGAGCAGCAGCGGCGCCTGGAGGACATGCAGGTGATGCGCCGGGAGGAGGAGCGCCGGCAAGCCGAGAGGGAGCAGGTAGAGATGGCGCCCCCTCTGGGGAGGGGGAGGGAGGCGCAAGAGGAGGGCCTTCAGGGCTGCGCACGGGCAGGGCCTCTGCTGGGCTTGTGGGGCTAGGATGAAGAGGCGCGATGGCTCCTTGGGGGGGGGGTCCTGCCCCTTGGCTTCCTTGTCCCACTCCTGCCCCCCCCCGGGGAAGATCCCTGGAAGTGTGAGGAGGGGTGAATTCTGCGGCTCTCCCAGGCGAGGACCTCTCTGCTCTTTGGGTGGCGGTTCTTCCTGGGTGCTGCTCTTCTCCTTCACCTGCTGGTCTCTCTCTCTCTGTCCCCCCCCTCTCTCTGTCCCTCTCTCTCTCTCTCTCTTTTTCTGTCCTCCCCTCTTGTTCTTGCTCCCTCCCTTCCAGGAGTACATCAGGCACAAGTTAGAGGAGGAGCAGAGGCAGCTGGAAATTTTGCAGCAGCAGCTGCTCCAGGAACAAGCCCTCCTGTTGGTAACTAGAAAAGGGGGGCCCGTTTCCTCCAACCTGGCTCTCCCCTCCACCTGGCCAGCCTGAAACCAGTGGCCTTCTCCCTGGCCAGGCTCGCCTGGCGTTTTGGGGGCTTCCCTTGGGCCTGAAGTCATGGGTGGGGAAGAGCACAGCTGGCCAGAGGCTGCCGATGACCTCCAGGGCCCCCTCTCTCCTCCTCCAGGAGTACAAGCGGAAGCAGCTGGAGGAGCAGCGTCAGTCCGAGCGGCTCCAGCGGCAACTCCAGCAGGAACACGCCTACCTGAAGTCTCTCCAGCAGCAGCAGCAGCTTCATAAGCAGCAGCAGCAGCAGCAGCAGCAGCAGCCGGAGAAGAAGCCCCTCTACCATTACAACCGTAGCGCCAACCCCACCGAGAAGCCCACCTGGGCCCGTGAGGTGGGTGCTGAGGTGCCAAGAGCAAAGGACCGGGGAGGGGGGAAGAACAGGACTGGAGGAGAGGAGAGAGGGGCGGGATAGGTGGTTCTTTAGCAGTGAGACGCGGGGAGCGTTCAGCTAAGCGGCGCGCTTGAGGAAGGGCGCATTTCCTGCCACGGGCCTCCTTTCTCGCAGGTGGAAGAGCGGACCCGCATGAACAAGCAGAATTCCGCCTCGCCCGTGGGGAAGACCAAGCTGGGTGGCAGCGGGGCGGATTCTGCTCCACCGCCCCGTGCCGAGTCAGTGTCGCTCAACTCCTCCCCGGCCTCCCAGACCCCGCCCATGCAGCGCCCCGTGGAACCCCAGGAGGGGCCGCACAAGGTGAGTGCCCGGTCCACCCCCCCCACCCCCGGGACTGCTCTTCTGCTCACGGCGGACAGGACCCGCGCCCGCCTGCCAGCCCTTCCAGCCTCTCATTTCCATCTGCTGCTGCTGCCGCCTGCTTCTCCCATCGGCTACCCCTTGACTTTTTCGCCCCAGGAGGGTGGGCAGAGCTGGCTTGCAGGATCAGGGCCTCAGGACAGGCAGGGAGGCATCGGAGGGTCCGCAGGAGAGGAAGCCGCCAAGGGGTCGGGGGGCGGCATCCAGCAGACTTCAAGACAGGGCTGGCAAGGCTTCAGGGTAGAAGGGGACAGGGGGGTTGCCAGTGGGTGGGGGGCAGCCCCCAAGGACCCGGGGGGAGGGTTGGCCACCCACTCCGGCCCTTCCCATCAATCACAGGTGCAGGAGGGCAGCAGGGAGCAGCCCCCCCCCTTGCCAGTGGGAGCAGGGCCTGGCCCCTTTCTGCGCCTCACCCGGTGACCCCTCTGCCCACCCTCTCCGTCCGCAGAGCCACGTCGCCCACCGCGTCCCGCTCAAACCATACGCCGCCCCTGTCCCTCGCTCCCAGTCGCTGCAGGACCAGCCCGGCAAGAACATGGCTGCTTTCCCTGTCCATGACTCCTCCTCTTCCTCCTCCGCCCCCTCCCCGCCCCGGGCGGGCATGATCCGGCAGAACTCCGACCCCACCTCCGAGGGGCCTGCCCCGCCGCCATCCCGAC